GGGATTCGTTCCTTTTGTGTGGCCCCAGAGGCCACACTGGGCAACTGCCCTGAGCCCAAGTCCCTGGGAGTGTGCACCTGGATGCCAAGTGACAGAATGTGGGCCACTAGGGGGCTCTTCTCTGTGAAAAGCTGACCTCACCCTCTGGGTTCCCTTCCTGAAGTCAAGATTCTGGGAGTTCCTGTTTATTTTCTAAATTCCATTTTAACAACAACAACAAAAAAAAATTTTTTTAAACCTATATGGTTCAAAATTCAAAAGACGCAAATTCATTTGCAATGAAAGAATCTCTGTCCCACCTCTGTCTTCCCCCTGCAGGGCAACGGGACAGTCTCCCATGTGTCTTTCCCAGGAAGTACACAGACATCCCAGCACCTGAGCAGTGCTTAACAAAATGCAGGGCACCTCCCACGTACTTGTTGAGGAACTGGATATGTGAGCAAATATATTTTTTAATTCTTCTATAATTCTCCGTCAAAAGTCCTTTCCAAATGTTGCATTCTCTACTGTTACGGAATGTCTCCACCGAAAATCATGATCCCAACTGGTGGTGCTGGAACCTCTAAGAGGAATTAAAGCTTCTCTCTTGGGACTGGATTGGTTACGGCGAGAATGGGTTGTTGTAAAGTAATCATCGTACCTTCCCGCAATCTCTCTTGCCATATGACCTCTCTTTTGCTCACTGTTCTTCCACCATGAGGTTCTTACCAGCAGCCAGGTGAATGTTGGCACCATGTTCTTGTACCTCCATAACTCTTTTCTGCACAAACTACCCAACCCCAGGTATTTTGTTATAGCCACACAAAACAGATTTAGATGTACCACACTATTCTACAACTTGTGCTCTTCACTTAACAATCTATTTTGACAACTCATGTCACTAAATATCTAAGGAGAAAATTCTAGGGCATTCCATCAGGCCAGCAGGGAAGAGGGGAGATGTAAGCTGTCATTTTTTTGTGCAGACATGTGCATATCAAATGGCATCAAAGCTGTCAACTCAAATGTCTATAGCCTTCCCTGGACACCCTTTTGAACGTGCTCTGCAGAGGTGATCTGGAGTAAGCGAGGCTATTAAGAAAGACGCTTAAGGGATGGGGGCTGTGGCTCAGCGGTAGAGTGCTCCTTGCCTTGCACATGCGAGACCCTGGGTTCGATCCTCAGCACCACATAAAAATAAATAAATAAAGATATTGTGTCTAACTGAAAAAAAAAAAAAAAAGGCGCTTAAGCTGAAAATGCCCCCGAAATACCCCTCACAGAAAACCAGGAGATGGCTACCATTCTGCCAGCAGCAGTCACAGCCCCAAAGCCTGGGAGATGGTTCCCAGATGCCACAGAGCCACCACCTACCTGAGCATACTGCTCCTTGAGTGGGCCAGAGAGCCGGAGAATAGCACAGATGTCAGCTCCAAGTCTGTGGGACAGGGAGATAGAGGACCCAGTCAACCTAGGGCTTCCTGGAGCCTCCAGGCTCCGGAAGAGAAGTCCAGAGGCCAAGTCGAGCCCTCATTTCTCCCACTGCTATTTGTGTCACTGTGGCAGCTCTCAACGCCCCTGACCCCTTTTCCTGATCTATAAACAGGGATAAGAGTTTCTTTCTCCCAAACAGGATCATTATGAAATTCAAATGAATATAAAGGAGCCCTGACGCTAACGGATAAAACGTAGGATGATAAGTACACGGAGAACCTCCAAGCCAGGCACCGAGGCCCACACCTGTGATCCCAGGGGCTCAGGAGGATCACAAGTTCAAAGCCAGCCTCAGCAATTTAGCAAACGCTAAGCAACTCAGCGAGACCCTGTCTCTAAATAAAACATATAAAAGGGCTGAGGGCTGGGGCTGTAGCTCAGTGGCCGAGCGCTTGCCTAGCATGCACGAGGCACTGGGTTCGATCCTCAGCGTCACATACAAATGACCAAATAAAACAAAGGCATTCTGGGGGACTGGGATTGTGGCTCAGCAGTAGAGTGCTCGCCTGGCATGTGCAGGGCGCTGGGTTTGATCCTCAGCACCACATAAAATAAATAAATAAAGGTATTGTGGCCAATAATTTTAAAAATACATTTAATAAATAAATAAATAAATAAATAAAGGTATTCTGTCCATCTACCAAAAAAAATATTTTTAAGCGGGGGAGCAGGAAGGGCTGAGACTGGGACTTGATGGTTAATTGCCCCTGGGTTCAAACCCTGGTGCAAAAAAAAAAAAAAGAAAGAAAGAAAACCCACCAGGCCTCCAAGCCTAATGATATTATGCCTCAATTAAGTTACTGCTAGTACCCTAAACCCAGTCACCACCAGGGATATCTCAGCCTCAACTAACTTGGTCACCACAACATAAAAAACTCATCCCTTCAGTTGTTCCATGATCTTAGTCAGCCATTTATTGGGCACCATATTTGATTCCAGGTAACAGAAATATGAATGAGATACACAATTTCTGCCCTGGCCTTGAGCTGCTCACACCTACACTTAAACACCTACGTGGTGAGATGAGTGTTCTTATTTTCAGATGAGGAAACTGAGGCTAAGTGAGGGGAACTGACTCACCTGAAGCAACCCTGTAACTAATGAAACCAGTATGAGTAAAATAAAAGTAGCCAACGTTTCATTCCTGAGCCTTCTCTAGATGCCAAGAATTATTCTGTAAGCCATGGACATGCATTACCTCATTTAATTCTTCCACCCTCCTGTCTTAGTCTGCATTGAACAAATGTCAAAACTGAGGCAGAGTCAATACGAAATGTGTACCAGATGGGCCACTAAGGCTGAGCTACCATGTGAATCCCAGAAGTCTAATCTCAGAACCTCTGTTTCTTAATGCTATTTAACTTCCAGAGCTGAGATGCAATTTAGGAAATGATGGTAGATACTTGGTGGTTGAATTTGTGTATGGATCTCTGCCCTGGAATCCCCCACAACCTCTCAGAACCCCCAGGGTACCCAAAACAGTTTCCTGACACCACACCCTACTAGCCCTCAAGGGGAGAGGAGCCTGGCGTGTGGTGCACCTATAATCTCAGCAACTTGGGAGGCTGAGGCAGAAGGATTACAAAGTCAAGACCAGCCTGGGCAACTCAGTGAGAATCTGTCTCAAAATAAAAAACAAAAAGGACTGGGGGTGTAGCTCAGTGGTAGAGCACCCCTGGGTTCAATCCCCAGTATGGGGGAAAAAGCAGAGAGGAGCTCCACTCCACTTTCTCCCCTTCTCTGCCCTCCTAGCCCAGTCCTCAGCAAAAATGCCCGACAGAATATCTTGCTCCAAGAAAAAACAATGAGCGAAGGCTAAAGGCATTATTATTATTTGGGGGAAGTGGTGAGCTAAAACTGAAATAACTCAGTCCCTGGAGTCAATAAAACTGAATTTGAATCCTGGATTCGCCACTTAATTTGCAACCCCAGCAAATTTTGTTTTTAACTTTTCAGAGCCTCCCTTGCTTCATCTGTGAAGTGGAGAGGCAAATAACACTACACAGTACCTACCAAAGGTTATGATGATTAAATAAATTAATACAGGTACAGTGCCTGGCATATAATAAAAACTTATTGAATCCCTACTATTAGGGGTCCTTGTCCTCAATGAACAAAGATTGCCTTTGGAACCAGACACATACTGGGTATGTTTTTAAAGAAATCCCTTATCTGTGCGTCAATTTCTTTATTTATAAATTACCTCACAGCACTGTCATGAGAATAGGAAAAGTATACAGAAGGTGCCTTGGTAGTCACTGTTTCATTGGTGACTCTTGGAGAGACAGTCCTACAGCTAAGGGCTTTGCAGAAGTGGTCGCCTGTCTTTGGAGTGGGCGTGTGCAGACGGCTGTCTTAAGTGACGGTGGCAATCCTGCATCTTCTCCTGCTCCTCCTGCCCGGCCACCAGAGAAGCTGGGGTCCGAAGCCCACTCCAGCAGACCCACACGCTCCCCTGGGTCGCCGGACGCAGTGAGCTCCCTCTCCTCCTCCTCCCCTCCCCACAGACACCTGCTCTGCAGCGCCTCGGTCACGAAGTCCTTCCCGGATTTTCTCTTCCCGCTAAACAGCAGCACCAGTCGGGGGGCGCCTCCCTGCGGGGCCATGAGGCCACTCGGCTTTCCTATCCCTAACGCGGACCCATCGTACCCCTGAAATCGGGCCACTCCGCGCGAAATGGACGTGGCCACTGGGAGAGGCAAGGAGGAGGGATCCCCTCCCTCTCCATAGCTGTAAAGAGGACTGAGGTCCCTCCATCTTCCATATGTTTTAATCCATGACTAAACAAGTACGGAGAGAAGAAAAAAAGGAGAAAAATGTACATACACAAAAGAGGCTTATTTCCAGGGCAGCCTTCTCCCCTAAAGAAGCTCCCCCTCTAGAGCGCACTTGAGCCAGTCCAGCTCCGCCCAGAACCGTACGTCACGGCCGCGCCTCCGAAACCGCCGGGCGGGGAGGAGTCGGACGCAACTACTTTTCTCAGAGGGGGGACAACAGCTTAAAATTTCCAGAGGTGGACCTCATCTTCCCCCCAGATAGCGTAAAACATGATGAAAAAAAAATATTTTACCTAATAATGTGGAAGGATTTTTCTTGAATGCTTTTTTACTTGTGTTTTATGACCCATGTGATTAAACAAACTTGTATTTGCCCCACAGTGGAAATGGGTCTTTCTGGAGATGTAAAACACGGTAATGACCTGATAGGGCTGTGTCTCGTGACGTCATCCCGAGGGTGGCGCTTAGCCTCGCCGACGCTCTCTTATTGTGAAACCGGTTTTGTAAGTGTGGAGGCCGGTGGGATTTGACCCTTTTGACCCAACAAGAAATGGATCCCTTTTCTAGCCGCATCCTCCTCACCAAAGGTTTTGGGAAGCTGGAAAGCTTGGAATGACGTGGCTTTGGATGAGATTAACCGGTTTTATCCGGAGACCATCTCCCGGCCAGGAGTTGAGAATTAGTGGTAGTTAAGTGTCCCTTCCTCCAGTGTCCAGTTCTGCCTCAGCCCGCTCCAGGACACCTCCTCCCAGTTAAGTAGGCACAGTTGTCTTTAGTCCTGAGTCTCTGCCTTGCATTTTTTCCGAGCTTGTCAAAACAGAGCCTGCAAACAGTTACTGCCTCCATATGATGGGTTATCAAATCATGTGAGAAGAGACTAAGTGAAGTGAGGAGACGTCCTTGAGATAAGCCCTGAATATTGAAAAAGTGGCACAAAAGAATGATAAGATACAAAGAGAATAGATTTCAGGAGGATTTTTTTAAAGCAACTCAAAATTTTAACTGTGCTCATCAAGGCGCTTCAGACAGGGCAGAGTGGAAAGAGTTTTAATCCTAGTTTTGACACTTCATGGGAATGTGACCTTCATAACTTTTACCATCGACGATGCCCACCTCACAGGGTTGCAATAAGAGGGAAATAAAGAAAATATATGCTAAAATGCAATAAAACACCTCATAAATTCTAAAGTATCATCCAAATGTAAGGGATTGTTATTTGCTCTTAGCCCTCTGTGTTTTTATTATGGTTTATAATTCAACCCAGGATCGGATTTTCCAGTTCACCTTCTGTAAACATTTACGTGGGCCTCCACTGAAAGACCAGATCTCAGCTAGACCAGCAGAAGCTACAAGGAATAACTCCCTTCTCACTTTCCTGCTTTCTAATTACTAGAAAAAAGTCAGAATTTCCCCCAAGTGTCTCTTCCCTCACC